TAATGCATGTGTTCTAATGTTTTAATTATAAAACTCATAGTTTTGCAATGGTGTTAGTGATCATAACCAAAACTGTTCAAAATTGGCAATTTTTATTTGTTTTGTCATTATCAAATCAATATTTGTTATTGATATTTCATACTTAGCATCAAATAGGATAGCTATTAAAGGAACTTAACTTTAATATAATTTTTCCTTATAAAAAACTTGATTGAATCTGCTGTGGGTTTATACTTTTCCAGACTAAAATGTTGATGGGTGAAGTGATGAGAGAAGCTGCCTTTTCACTAGCGGAGGCCAAGTTCACAGCAGGGGACTTCAGGTAAGATGACACAGCAGGCTGGTTTAAAACAAGTTAGTGCTTTCAGTTTGTGATTTCATTATAAATCATTCTAAATTTTAAAATGTATAAGCATTAAAGACAAATAAATGACTTAGTAATAATAAGGAGAAACACTTAACCCCCTCACCACTGTTACCATCCACAAGTGTCTTATGTAGTTACAGGCACAGGATACTTGATTTTTATAGTTTGTTTTTATTTAATGTGGTATCATAAACAATTTTTCCTTATTTTCACATGGCTATACAATCTTCCTCAAGATGTACCATGATTTACTAATTTTTTTCTCCTGATGCAGGTTCTTTGGGTTGATTTTCACGTGTTTGAATATTAGAGAAAATACATGGGTATATATTTTTTGTTTCTATTTAGGCTAGATTTTTGAGAATGGAGTTCATTAGTTAAAAGGCAGGAGCTTAGCTGGATGTGGTGATGCACACCTGTAATCCCAATGGCTTGGGAGGCTGAGACAAGAGGATCTCAAATTTGATGCCAGCCTGCTAAATTTAGTGAGTCCCTGAGCAACTTAATGAGACTCTGTCTCAAAAAATAAAAAGGTCTGGGGATGTGACTCAGTGGTAAAGTGCCCCTGAGATCTCTCTCCAGTACTAAAATAAGCAGTAGCTTTATGGCTTTTGTCATATCAGTATATTCTTTTTTATTTTTATTAACTTTATTTTATTTATTTATATTTATGTGGTGCTGAGGATCGAACCCAGTGCCTCAAACATGCTGGGCAA